CTCATAATTAGTCGTGAAGCAGGGTCAGTCTGTGTTTGATCAGCTTTTAGGTGTTCATTAACATTTACTAATTGTTGAAGGAAGCTGCTTAAAATTGGCATTTTCTTGGCGTGTCATTTGGCTGCTTTGGCTGCAGATGCACATTCAGCCTCTGTGTCATCAGCTGAGTGGGAGTAGATGGAGAGTGGCCAGAATTTGTTGGGAGTTTACATAACCTGGAATTATCTTTGCCCTCAATGAGTCAGAAGGGAAAGAAGTGGCTGTTGTTAATTACCAATAAACTGAGTAAGCACTGAGTATCTTATATTTTAGTCCTTTTCTCTGCGTTTCCAGTTTCCACAAAAAATCCCAAATCTATTTTCAGCAGCAGAGCTCCACTGTTATTGATAAGAGACAATGCCCTGAAGAAATCTCTAGCACTAATTCTAGTATATGTGTTCACTGAAGTGTTTCTATTGTTAATGCATTTCTTCATTTCTCCGTTACCCCCTCGAACACTGACGTCTGCCGCTTTCCTTTCTAGTTGGTGAAATTGTGTATCGGGATGATTGATGCTGGAAAAGCCTACAACGCAGCTAACAAACAGTTTGTTAATGGGATCCGGGAGCTTGCACAGCAGTCCACCAAAGATGAGGTCATTGAGGTAAACAAAAATATTATAATTTTGCTCGATCTTATCTGCACAAAATGCTTTGAAGTATTTTTTTGCTTCTTCTCCAGCTTGTGTTGTGACAGTCCTCCTGTAATATCCAGTAAAACTTTGAAAACTCTACATCTCAGTAAAATAAACATCACAGATGGTGTAAAAGCATTACTGACTTCATGAGAGTCCCCAGATGTGAAGAAGCCTTTAGCTCTTTGTTTGATCACTCTAAATGGGTTTCACTCTGCATCCATGGTGATATTTATCCAAGTTTGAAAACTGAGGGCTAGCAGAACCTCGCACTGTCCGCTGGGTCTCGCAGAGGTCAGCTGTTTTGTTTTGTTCTCTCTTATAAATTTTGCATGCCGAGGCAAGCACTTCCTGTCTGCCTTTGTGTATTTTGTTCACCGCCTCTCCCTTTAGGTTTGAAGCTGAGCCACTGCGTGTATCTGAAAAGTGTAACTTAGCCAAAAGAATTCTTTCCCAAAGTGCTATTGTTGCTTCAAAAACACCAGGGTTTCCTTTCTCTCATACCTGAGGAGCTTTTGTCTCTGCAGCTGTGGCTTAGCAGGCATTTTGAACCACTGGTTTTAATTATATTTGACCTTGTGCTGTTTTGTGTTTTATTCTTGCTTTGTCTCTTTGCCTGCCTTCATTGCTGTCCTCTTCCTTCTCTTCACAGTCCAGTCTCACAAAGTTTGCCGAGAGTCTGCAGGAGATGATCAACTATCACACGGTACGCTGACCAAAACCGGATGCATGATTTTTTTCCCCAAGTGACTATAAAATCCAGATCGTTTAAAATAAATAAACAAATCCTTGTGCTGAGAAAGAGAAGCAGAAAATGTCCAGTGAACATGTTTTAAAAGCTTAGCACAGAACTGAACTATGGTGGCTGAATGTGAAGAAAGTGGCTATAATAAGCATCTTCCTGGGGGAAGATTTTATATTGCTGTAAAATATGTGAAGCAGGGTGTTGCTAAAAACACACAGGAAACAATGCCTATTGTAAACAGTGGTTTTAAAAAAAGCTCCTTGGGTCAGCTGCAATAAATTCCTTTTTTATTCATTGTCAGCCATCATTAGTCATCAACGCTTTGGGATTTGTTGTCTTTTGTTACAAAATAAAAATAATTCCTGGAGTAAAACTGTCCATGATGTCATCAGATCTGGTTGTGTGTGTGGGTTGAAATCCATCTGTTGGAATAAATCATCCATAACTGGTGTAAATTGTTTGTTTGTTTAGTTCATCCCGCAGACAGGTGAAGAGCTTTAGTATAATGTTGACCATAAAAGATGTGTTGCATGCTAGATTATTTAAAATAAACCAACATGATGCCTTTTCCCCACTCTTCAAGGAGCCCAGTAGGAGAGATCTGATTAAACTCCCTACTTGTCAGTCTCTGGTCGGCATTAAGGTGGCGCTTGAAACTTTCCTCTGTTGGGCTTCTCATTAGGACTTGAGCTAGAGCCTCTTTCTCTACAGTGAATTTAGAGATTCCCCTTGTCAGGAATTATCTCCACTAGAGCAGGGCGATATGACCAAAAAT